TGAACAAGACAGTTTCACTGGAAGTTGAAGTGAACAAAGTTAGGATACAAAGTTTTTTGTCGCCTCTCGTCGTTTCTGTGAAGTGAAAACAGTCCACGACATGGTGCTTGTAGGAAAGGCTGATTTGGATTTATTAATGTGAAAAGGACACCTTTTCCGTCGTAGCAACTTGTCGCAAGTATAACGGCATAGAAGCCTCGATCAGGAGCGAAGCTATCAAGTGCGCCTACAAAACATCGAGTTATGGAAGCCTTGTTTCGCAAAAAGCTTTTGTGCACATACAAGTCCCCACATTATGGTCGAGACGATTCCAAAGAGGAGCGTCTCAGGCTGTGGCAAGGGTCATATCAATACGGACTGTTTGAGTTCATACGCAGAAACGAATCCTATGCTACCCACTCTCTTTCTCTCTCACACACACACACACACACACACACACAATTATTTAAACAGATGAAAAAGTTCACTTTTGCGCTAGCAAGTTCATCATTTAATCCATTCGTTGTAAGTCAAAGGTTGGTATTATGACACCGCTACAAACTGATTTGTATAACATCAGTAGCATTGGCCGCGTGACGAGCACAAATGGTCTCGGATATTCTGTAAAGTGTTGCTAAGGCGTGCACGCAAAGCGTTTATAAGCCACGGCTTAGCATGCAGAAAAGACTGTTGATCGGACGGCAAGGTGCCTAGCTCGAGGCCCGCTGGGCACGAGTTCCAATTGGCCGATCGAAACGGCTTCAGGTGAAGTGCTAGCAACACAATCCTGGCTGATTATGTACATGTCATAGCTTAGAGGGCTGGAAAGAGATCCGGCCAAATCGGCGTCTACAGAGCCAGCTGTTGTGGCCTCCCCGAATCACGAATATCTTCCCATCAAGCTCCGATCTGTCACAGATCCCGCCGACAGTCTTCGCTCCTTTTCTCTACAGGACATGTGGTTGTTGGGAGTTTTCAATTTGAAGCCGTCGGGTGGATGTGTTTTGTTCAATTGACGACCAGCCTCTCTACGAAGAATTGAAGAGGAGGCTTGATTTTCGGCAATTTGTTTGTTGGGAATCGACCTGCGGTGTACGTCTGTCCAGAGCTTGTCGGCTGGAACTACTAACATCCATTCAAAATGGCAAGCAAGTTTAAGTATCCTTCTTTTGGTGTTTAGCTCACTTCCGTTTCGACCGTAAGTGTGTGATGAAGCGATCCCAAGGTGGATTTCTTTTGACCAGTTCTTGATCTTTTCTGCTGGAACATATTGCTCAACGACCCCATTGAATCAATCCTCTTCAATTATGTGAAAATACGCCAAGTTTGTGTCCTTCACACGACGGACAACATCAGAGCATGCTATCATTCTTACAAACATATTCAAGGAAATCCACTGGCTGATCCCTTCATGTTGTGCGCAAAAATATGAGATTTATTCACCCTATCAATGCACACAATTGCTGAATCTTTGACTTTTGGTGTAGTATCGAGTCTAAATCATATGCCGATCCAGGAGCAATTACGTCTGTCTGATGATGTGTGCTTGTGTGCCTTCATATGTCCGTACGTAGAAGACAACGCAACATTTTTTTTTCCAAGCAGAATTTCGAGACTATTAATAAATCAGTTATATAATATGTACTTCCTTTTTCGGTCAAGATGATGAAGGACTGGGAGTTGAATTTTCCCACAATCATATGATTAGAGCTGACGTTTCTATTAAATTTCACACAGCTTTCCCCAAAGGTGTTCTAATTCCGGCTGGAGAGGACTGCAGCTTCGACCTTGCATGGGTCTTGTCAACACCCCCAGCGGGAATCGAACCATGACGGTGCAGCTTGTAATCACGGCATTTCATATAATGTAACATGTGTTCTCGGACTAGCACTATCCGTTTTTTATGTTTTAACCATCCCTCCTAATGGTTTATGTCGGACGCATGTCTGTTTAAGTTAAGGGTCTTTCTGTGTGTGTGTGTGTGTGTGTGAGCGATTAAGCCTAGACGTATAGACAGTGTGATTATGATTAGAACTACTACCAACGGAAAAGTGGTTGAGTCACCTCTTTTTTACCGACGATTTAGCAACCTCTTTGTCACTAAGACTATCAATTAAGCATATGTAAATGCGAATAATAGTTTGATTTTAAGTAATCATTTGATTTACAAATGTTAAGCCCACTTTCATTTTGAATTAAAAGATGTGATGAACAGAAGATGATGACAGATTCCTCTCGATAAGCTCGGACATCATCGAGCCCCACTGACACATTTTCACTCGAAATGGAAATTAGCTCAATAACAGTTAACTTTTTACTGGCCTTCTCGGCATGTAATTTATGGCCTAATTTCTTGATTTAAGCGGCCCGTCAATAGAAATAATCCAAAAGAGTTATCGAAACGGAAAAGCTCGTCAGAACATCAGAAGCCAGATACGATACCTTCAACTACTATCCTCCAACCTCATTAAAACTTTCCTTTGTCCTAAGCGTGAAATTCTAATTTCGAGCCAAAACTCAAAGACAGAAAGCATATTTGGCACCAACAGTAACCCTGCGGCAAGTAAACCTAGACAATATTTCATCCTACCAGTCTGAGAGTGTCTGCAAACAAAAGGATTAACGAGATACAGACGAAGATGTAGTGCCGTCT